GTGACCGCGTGTAATTATACAGCCGTGTTCATACACCTGAGGATGACCTCTTGATGTCGAAACATGTAGTGATAATAAAAAACGTGTTGTGTAGTCGATAATTTCACTCTACTATTAATGCTCTGATACTGTCGAAAGGAATTTTCCGTTTATGAGGATTGCTATGTCTCATAAGCATATCCTACTGTATAACACCCATCATCATTAAGTCCCCACAGGAGATTGTCGACGACCAGGCCCCACAGCAGAGGCGAGAGCACTCCCCCCCTGTAGACACCCCCTAGATGCGGACGCCCCCAGGGACTCTCCTGATAGTGTGGCAGCTATGGTTCTGCTTCCCAGCATAGCACTGATCCACCTGCATATTGCAGGCTCTCTGCCATGCTTTCCAGGGGCCTGTTTCATTATATCAAATGAGTTTCTATCGAAAGCTCCCTCTATGTCAAGGAATGCTCCTAAGAGCAATATCCTTGTGTTCAATTGCATTTTCTATGCGTGTTACCACATTGTGTAGTGCACTTTTGGTAGATTTACCTGTTTGGTAGGCATGTTGGTTTTGGTGTAGAGAATATGTCCTCAATGCCCCATCCCTGATATGCCTATCCACTATTTTCTCCATCGTTTTCAAAAGGAAAGACGACAGGTTGATAGGACGATAAGCCTTAGCCTCGATGGAATCAAGTTTCCAAGGCTTTGGGATAAACATCACCTTAACCTGCCTCCAGGCCTTGGGGATAAAACCATATGCCAAGCAGGCTCTATATATGCGGCGTATGTGTGAAACTAAGAGTTCTGCCCCATGCTGCAAAAGTTCCGGTACAATTCCATCCGTTCCCGCTGACTTAAATGGTCTAAAGGTATTCAGTGCCCTTCTGATTTTTGATTGGTTATTTATGTCTTTGGCCAGGTTCTAGTCTGCCCTGTTCGTCTTGCTTTGGCGAGTGCCCAGGTTTTGCTGACCCTGTCCATCGTCCGAATTATCAATAAATTTTGAATCAGGAAAGTGAACCCTGAATAATTCGTTCAGTGTCTCCCTTACTGTTTGAGTATACTGCCCGTTAGGCAGCTTAATTGTGCTGACCTNATTTGAAATGCATCCGGAAATTCTGTTGTGATACTGCACCTGCTGAGAGTAGTAACGAGTAAATCTCATAATATCCTCAGGAAGTGGCCTGAATAATTATATATAAACATACCTAGTATCCTAGGGGATTTGAGAACAGGATGTCGAGGAGAATATTTGGACCGAGGAGGGATGAAGTAACAGGAGGTTAGAGAAAACTGCATAATGAGAAGCTTCATAACTTGAACTTTTCTCCGAGTATAATTAGAATGATCAAGTCAAGGAATATGCAGTGGGCAGGGCAAGTAGCACGAATGGTGGAGAAGAGGAATGCATATGTGCTACTGGTGGGAAAGCCAGAAGGAAAGAGAGCACTGGGAAGACCAAGGTGTAGGTGGGTGGACAATATTGAAATGGATCTTAGAAGGATAGAATGTGATGGTATGGATTGGATAGATCTGGCTCAGGATAGGGACCAGTAGAGGGCTCTTGTGAACATGGTAATGAAACTTCGGGTTCCATAAAATGCTGGGAAATTCTTGAGTAACTGCAGATTCGGCTTCTCCTTAAGATGAAGGGCTCAGCTCCATTAGTAATTAGGTAAGTAAGTAAGTATTCGAGGCTTTCACGGCGGTCACCGCCGTGAAAGCCTCAAATCTTACATAGTGGTCCGGTCTGCTTTTACCGGTTCTCACGGTCTCTCCGCTTGCAGATTTCTTATATATTTTTTCTTCTACCCTGAAGATGGAGGCGATACGTTCCTCCGAAACGTCGGTTAACACCACATATACACGGTGCCCAATTCCCAGAAGCCTGCTTTCTTCAAGTAAGTATTCTTTTACACAGATGTTGGTATTTACATGGTATGACACAAAAGGCAATGCAGTGTAGAGAAAGTCACGGCATGTAATTTTAAATCTTGTGTATCGAGATACTTTTTAAGCACTGATATACCTGTATTGTTTTTTTTTTCTTTTTGAGAGGCGGGGGGGGGAGAGAATAGTAAGTCACTACTCTTCACCAAGAGTTTGCCTGCAAAAGAGTTTTACTACCTCACCTTCCATTCTTCAGAGAGATTAAAAATGAATATTCAGAGAACCCAGTATCAATGTACTCAGTGTCATTGTGAAGGAAGAAATAGCATGAAGTATGTATGTTTCATGTTTAGCTAACAGACATAATAGACGCACATGAGTATAAGTTTGGTTGGCAGTGTTGCATTCATATTTAAAGCGGAAGGTATACCGTGTACAAGGGAAAACTTTGAGGGCATTTTCCCAGATTACTTGCCTGTTAAGTGAGGATGCCATCAGGAAATGTACGAGTGAACTTGCTTCGAATTTCCTGGGGCAACAGAAACCACTCACTTTAGTTCCTTATCTATCCAACACGTTGCTTTCAAAACATGACGCAGTAACAAATGCAATGTGCAACAGTGTACAAAATTCCTAACAAGTCAAGAAAATAACAGCAGATAAGGAATTCTTGGAGGTATGACTTGCACACTTTCCTTTCACTACAGTTTGAGTATCTGATGCAATAAGTGGAAAAACCTGTAGTATGTATGCATAATGAACACAGTGGTTTTAATGACAGCAAATCTGTTAACTTGTCACTGAAACTCGCCCAGTCGTTGCTTTATTTCGTCCATATGCCCTTGATTGTGTGATTTTCTACATGTCTTTGTTGTTGCTTTGGCAGAATCCATTGTGGCTTACTTTCATCATTCGAATATAGCAATGCGCAAAAATTCGGAAAGGGTACAGACCATTTCCTGGTGGAGATTTAATCTCGGCGCTCATGTCTGGCATGATGGTCTCCTATATAAAATAAAGCACACACTCCCGATATATTTCAAGCTCATCAGGTCCTACCTAAATGGCCGTCAGTTCAGAACTAAAGTCAACGGAGAAACGTCAAATCTCTTTCCAATAAAGTTCGGTGTACTTCAGGGTAGTGTATTGGGCTCAGTACTCTATTTAATATATATATATATATCAGACATACCGACGACAGCTGATACAATAACTGTCACTTTCGCAGATGACACAGTAATATTATCCAGCCATGAACACCCAGAAACTGCGTCAGTTCACCTGCAACACCATCTACATCTCCTAGAACAGTGGACTAAAAAATGGAAAATTAAAATAAATGAAAAAAAATCTACGCAAATCACTTTTACTTTAAGAAAGGGACCGTGTTCATCAACAATGAAATCATACCGGAATCACCATCAGTGCGCTATCTGGGAATACACTTAGATAAAACACTCAATTGAAAGAACACATAGTCAAAAAGAGGAAACATATCGATGCGAAATTTATAGAGTTATACTGGCTACTAGGAAGAAAATCCCAACTGAACTTGGAAAATAAATTCCTGATATACAATGCTGAGATAAAGCCCGTTTGGACCTACGGGATTGAGCTATGGGGCTGTGCCAGTAAGTCGAGTATCGCCATCATCCAAAGATCTCAGTCAAAAATACTTCGAGCAATGACAGATGCACTTTGGTATGTATCGAACGACACCCTTAACCACGACCTTGGCATCTCAACCATCTCTGATATAATCCAAGAGGTTGACAGCAAACACTATGATCGACTAGAGACGCACATCAATCCATTGATGAAGCCGCTACTGGAAGAACCCAGAAATAGAAGCTTGAAAAGACGTCTTCCAATTGACCTCAAGTGAATAACGGAGGCTCCTTCGGTGGAAGGACCCTCATCTTGCCATAGGCGGGCTCAGTAACCCAATGTCACCACAATAGCTTATAGAATATGATAATTCTGATTGCTATTTAAGTAACAATAAAAAAATGTCTCCTTCAACTCAGCTTAGTCAGCTCTCCCTGTGCCGACTCACATTGTAGCGGCAGAGGTACGAAAACTACAACTACGTCCAGTGTAAATTAAGTGGGGAAATTGTGTTATTTATCTTCATCCATTGCGGCCTATCTGAGTACATTTCACTTGAAGAACGAGACAGAACCCAGTATCCGTAACGATATTTTTTAATTAAAAAGAATCTGACAAAGAATGATGTCCAAATTCACAATAATATTTTCCATTTTTTTATGTGTTATATATTTCAACGAACTAAATATTTGAATATTAAGGAATAGAACGTTTTTAATATGACATGTCGGCTCTGAGGACTTGCTTGTGTTAGTTCGAAACTTATGGCTATACAGGGCTGTCAAGGAGACGACATACTGGCGCCTTGACATCTCGAAATTTCCAATGAAGCATCGCATTGCCAGGTCAGGACAATGCAATACGACGTTACGAAAGTCACTATCATGTCTTAATAAATAAAAGGTAAAGTTATCCCGGTATCAGGCCGTGAAGGTCTATAGGGTCGAGAGGCGTCGAGGCTCAAAAATTTATAGATAATCAGCTCACAGGTGGCAGTAACGTTGCCAGTCTTACGCTCTGGCCGCCCTTCATCCCCCAGGAAGAGTCCTGGTACTCATTTCTGTTAGAGGTTGAGTCGACCCCAGGACCATAGGGCAGCTTCCTTCTTGTAGCATAGTGCCTCAACCAACTACTCTACCGCGAACGGCAAAAAAATTAAATAAATGTAAGTAAATGGTAAAATGTATAGAAAAAGGAGAAGCTTTACCTGTAACTGGCCGTGGTAGCCCATAGGGCTGTGAGAGTCGAGGTTCCCACATTTTCTCTTAACAATCGGCTCACAGATGGCGGTGAGTTTGTCAGCCTTACGCGCCGACCGCCCACACTTCACCCCCAGGGAGATTCTTGGTACGCATTTCTGTTAGATGCTGAGTCGAACCCAGGGCCATAGTGCGGCTGGAAGGATTTGGTCAATTGCAAAATCCAATGACATTGTTGCCAATGCTATAAAGAGTATCCTATAGGTGGCAGCATAATGCAGACAAAGAGAACACAATCACAGTGCCGGTTTGAAGATGGCTGCTCCACTACGTACATCCACGAAAGAAGAACAACGTTCTGTAATTCGTTTTTTGACCAGTGAAAGTGTGAAACCGATTGAAGTTCATCGACGGATGAAGGTTCAGCATGGTGATGCATGCTTGTCACAGCAGCAAGTGTACGAGTGGAGTAGGGAATTCAGAAATGGAATGACGTCTGTGGCAGAAGCTCCTCGCCCGGGTCAGGCGCACCGAGTTGTGACCCCTGAGTCTGTTGCAGCAGTTGAAGCCCTAATGATGGAGAATGGCCGAGTGTTGGTGGATGAAATAGCCGAAAGTCACAGATCAGCACACCATGTCATTCATAATGTGCTCCGGTTTCACAAGGTGTCTGCAATGTGGGTGCCGAAGTAGCTGACTCCAGAACTGAAACAACGACGTGTTGAGGCCTATGAAGAATTTTTGCGGCGCCTTGAAGCAGAAGGTTGTGGCTTCCTTTCGAGAATCGTTACTGGCGATGAAACTTGCGTCCACTACCACCAACCAGAAACAAAGAGAACGAGCAAGGAATGGCGTCATTCCTCATCACCAAAACCCAAGGAGTTCCGGACGCAGCTATCTGCAGGGAAGATTATGCTGACTCTTTTGGGACGAACGAGGCGTACTCTTGGAGCACTACATGCCTTGGGGGAACACTATCACCAGTGCCTCATATTCAGATTTCTTGAAGAATCATTTTCGACCTGCAGTCAAATTAAAGCGACGTGGACTTTTGACTAGAGCTGTCCTTTTGCAACATGACAATGCTCGGCCCCATATTGCCCGTGCAACAATTGCAACAACCCAAGACTTGCACTTTGAATGTCCTCCACACCCGCCATACTCACCAGACCCAGCCCCAAGTGACTACCACATGTTTGGGCAACTCAAAGAGACGATGGGAGGAAAGCAGTTCCGTTTTGATGAAGAGGTACAGCAGGCGGTTAATCAGTGCCTGCGCAGACAGCCACAAGAATTTTTCTAGAGGAATCCATACACTTTGTAAACGCTAGAAGGCCTGTATTGAACGAAATGGAGACTGTAGAAAAATGATATAGTTGTGTACCAAATTATAATTTATTACATGCCGTGATTTTTTATGTACAGTAATGTTGTATTCTAAGAAATTAAACGTAAATTATTTACTCGCAGTTGTTGTTACATCATAGTTTTCATTATTGATTTATTTGTATTTTTCTCGCATCTACGCAGCTTCTTTGATATGCTAGCCGCATGTTCTATGTACGTGCTTTTCCCTAAAACTGCAGCGATTAGCATGGGTTTTCCTGTTTTTTATAACGCTGTTTTGGTATTTGCCCTTATTTGTTACAAGTTAGAGCTTCTTCAGCTTTATGACTCTTTCTGTAACGATGCACCCACCGATTGTTGGACATCATTTAAAATTATAAATATTTCAAAAATAAGTCTGTATAGTGTCACTTCTTCCGTTTGAAGCGTATAGGTCCCGCGTCTTACAATTGTTTCAGTTCTATCACAGCTGTGCTCTGAAGTAGTTCGAAAATTGTGGTTGCTAATTAGTCTTGCTATTTTCTATTACCATTAGACTACTTTATTTTTTCAAGATGGATAAATTCCTTATATTGAGTTCTGAGATGTTCCCGACTGTATGGTCACTTGCTGACGGCAATAAAGTGTTGATGGACACAATTAAAGAACATTTAGAAATGTTGCAGTAGAAATTCAATAAGTATTTTGGAGAAAGTGTACAAGATTTCGACTGGGTTCGTGATCCATTCGTTGCGAATTCAGAACATCTTCCGATTAATGTACAAGAGGAACTCGCAGATTTAAAAGCGGACAGAACATTGAAACTAAAACTTCTCGAAGTGCCTTTGGATACGTTTTGGTTGGCAATGAGTGAATACCCGGCTATCTCGAGATGGCAGTTAATGTGTTATTGTCATTTTCAACTACATATTTGTGTGAACTGGGCTTCTCGACGTTAACTGAAATTAAGACATCAAAGAGGGAGCGGCTCAAATCCATCGATGAAGAAATGAGACTTGCGTTGTCAATGATTCCACCACGAATCAGTCGCCTGTGTGCAGCTACGCAGGCGCAAGTATCACATTGAAGGTATGAGTAGAATTACTGTATTTACCTTAAAATCGATAGAAGCGTATTTTCTAAACTCTACAGTGAATTAAAGTTCATTAATTGTTAATAAACGCAAGAGTCGATTTCTGTTTAATGATAATCAAATAACAATATAATAATATTATAGTAATAAATTTATCACGTTGCGTATTTATAATAATTGTCTGATATCATGCGTTTTTGAGGGGAATAACATTTTGGTGTGCCGTGTTGAGTCATGGATACTTCATGGTGGGCCGCGAGTGGAAAAGTTTGCGGAACACTCAGTTAGAGAACTGCTGGTGTTCAGTCCTTGTGAGCTGGACACTAGTAGCTGAGGCCGGTGACCATTCGGGAACCCAGAGGAAGGGGAAGGTCCGGCGTTGGAAGCCGCTACAAAGCAACATCCAATAAAGACTGTAGCAGAGTGAGAAAACTAGTCTGTGTGTGACAGTAATTTTTAAAGTGTAGTCACAACTTGAGTGTTAAAGTGTTCAATAAATCCGGGTACCATTCCAAACCCCGCCTATAGTTAGACTCATACACATAATATCAATGTATGCTACCAACATTTTCTGTTTACTTTTTAATATACGCAACTGATAACTGAGGAGCTATTCCAAGAAACTAGCAGCTCCGGCCTAGAAAACAGAAATTAACGGCCGTGGGGATTCCTTGCGCTGACCACGCGACACCTCTATCCGCAAAAGTTGGCACTGGCGAAAACAATTTATATGCTAACGTAACACCCTGATCTTTTACACAGACAGTGCTCAAAAATAAATAATCGTAAATATAGCATTTAAATATGAAATAAATTAAGAAAAGTCATAGAGTAAATGATATTTGTTTTAAGGATGTCAAGTTCACATAATCTTGCATAAAACTTTTGAACAGAATTGAAATAAAATTGCAGGAATTTACGAATTTCGGCACACTTCTGAAGCGAAATTATTTGTTTCATCAGCAAGCTGAGATAATGACTCGTAGCACACAGACACTCAATGAAAGTGTTTGACGAAACGGGCCACAATTTGGAGCTTTATGTCACTCAAAAAGCAAGGTAAAGTGTGAGGAGGAAAGGGAATTATCTTAAATTGAAATTTGTTGAGAGATGTTAAAGCACTTGTCGGGCTGAATTAGAACTGTCTCCGAGAGTCCCACTGGAACTTCCGGGAAGAGCAAAGTCAGCTACTGGAGTTGATGAAACAGGAAGCTCAGATGAATATGTCAGATCAGGGTTAATACGACTAAAGAAGAAATCAACTTATAAAGTATTTGGCCATGGACTATGTAGATTATGTACGAATAGAAATATGAAACAAGAATCACAATTATTAGATGTAGTTTCGGTCGGGACAGTGCAGTGGGTATAGCGACTAGTTACTGGCTGGACGACCGTGGGGTCGGAGTTCGAGTTCCGGTGCAGACAAGAATTTTCATTTCTCCGTGTCCTTCAGAGCAGCACTGGGGGGCCCTCCACCTCCTATCCAATGGGAACCTGGGACTCCCTGGGGGTAAAGCGCCCTTTTGCAAAGCTGACCGCTCACCTCCAACTAGTGCAGAGGTCAAGAAAATGTGAATCTATACATTCACTCCCCCATACGCCTTCATGGCATAGTGCTTACTTAGTTAAGTACAGGGACAAATTTAACGACTTTACCTTATAACGAAAGTAAGAGAGAAAGTGTACGGATCAGATCTTTTGCATTCATCAGACATTATCATAATCATCATCAGTAATCCGTCAGACGACAGGTCCAGAGTCCCTTCCAAAACAATACCTCCACTTAATGCGATCTACAGTTTCTCCTTCAAATGACAGTATCCTCTTCAGTCCCCAAGGACATCCAGAATCTTCTTACGTCTTCTTCCTCGTCTTCTTGTCACTTCTATCCGCCCCTCAATCTTTCCTTCAATAACTCCTTTTAGAAGGCAGTTTCTGCGTAAAACATGACCAATCCAATTCCGTTTTCTTATTTCGTGTAGGATATTCCTCTGCTCACTGACTCTAATTAACACTTCTTCATTTCTCACGTAATCGGTCCAACTGATCTTCTCCATCCTTCT